ACATGGGAAATTAAAATAAAAAGCCAAACTTGAAATCCATCTCTTCAGGCACCTATTGAACTATCTGATAACAGCATGGGTCAGTTTTTATCAGTAACATGTAAATAATGGAAGTATTTGTAATTATTTGCAATAAATTATCCAAAACATGATAAAATTATAAAAACAATCAGTATTCACCCAAGCTCTAAAAGCATTATAGAGATTAAAAAGTCCAAAAGTCTTCCCAGCCTTCATTTATTTCTGGGAGCAGCAGGATATTTTAATTCATTTATCCTCATTCCCCCAGTGGGATCCAGAGGTGGTGGTGGCTGACAGCCTCTGGAATATCTGGGATATCTTCATTCATCCCCACTTTCCCCTGGATTGCTCCAGCCTTGGAGCACCACTCAAACTTTGAGTTGCTGATGGGATAATTAAACTGTGAGGAGTTCCAGAACAACCTTTCCAAAATTCCTCTGCTGGGATTATTCCCATTTGCCAGGAGGATCCCTGAGGTGGGAACGGTTTGGGATCTGTTTATCAGGATTTTCCTTTATTCATTTGTGATTTCTCCCTCATTGAATTAAAGAAATCCCAGGCAGTTTTCAGGGTGAGTGGGTTCAGAAACGAGCAGTTATTTGAATGTGTATTAATTGTATCAATTCTTTGAGTACCAAGTGTTGAGTTTTTAAAATTCAGATTTTAATTCCAACGAATTTTGGACTATTAACAGAAAAGGCTTCTCTTGAGGAGCCAAAGTCTGGGTGTTGGGAGAATTGTTGTCACCTTAAGGAAATTTTAAACAATTAAATTTTAAACCCAAAGTCTGGGTGTTGGGAGAGCTGTTGGCACCTTAAGGAAATTTGAAACAATTAAAAGAAATTTAAAACCCAAAGTCTGGGTTTTGGAAGAGTTGTTGTCACCTTAAGAGTTGTTGTCACCTTAAGGAAATTTTAAATAATTAAAAATGGGTTAAATTAATTAAAGGGTTAACGAGGTGATTTGTAGCTCGTGGCAGCTCTGCCACTAAATCTAAACTGGAATCATTAAATCGCTGTTAAGGTCTCTTTCTTTTAAAGCTTTTATTTGCTTTTCTTATCAACACGAGGATTGTGAATGGGGAGAAATCTCCCTTTGAAGGCTCCAATCCCGCTGGGATGGCAGCAGGAGCTGCAGCGTTTGTTTGACTTGCTGTTTAATTCCAACTGCTGAGAGAAGCCAGAGCACGACTTTGGGAGCCTCTTTTTCCTTCTGCTTCCTCTCAGCACAGGCACTGGGAGGTTCCTCACATCCAAAGTCCCAAATCCTGCAGCAGCGCTGGGTGCTCCAGGTGAAAAATTCCTGGGAAATTCCATCCTTGTCCAAGCAAACCCTGCTCAGCACGACGGGATTTCCCTGTAATGCAGCCTCGAAAACTCCCACTAAATCCTGCCAGCAGAACTGAAGTCCCAATTAAGCTTTAATAATACTTTTCTAATTTTAATCCACGCCGGTTTTGCTGCTTATTAGGCTGAGGTGCTAAAGAGGAAGGGTTTTTGTAAAGGGGAAAAAAATGAAATTATGAGAAAGCTCAGTGTGGAAACTGCAAGGTGGTGAAAAAAGCCGTTATCACCAAATCTTTGCTTCCTGTAGTCATCAGATATCTGGGGTTTTATCAAACGGACACTCCACCCTTTTATTATCGCTCTGGCAGTCCAGATTTCATCTGTTAAAAAAGGCATTTTAAGAAAAACCTTTACACTGGATTTGGGTTGATCTACAGCGCCAAAATCGCCAAACTTCCCAATAAGTTCTGCCCACAAATTTGTAATTTACTTAGAATTTTTCAGGGAAGAATTTCAATAACATGAAATATTTAATTCTTAATAAATGCTTCATTTAATTCCCATCTGCATATTACAACACTGGATTTGTATTTAGGGTTTTGTTTCTGTCCTTATTATTTTTTTAATTGTAGAACTTGAATCTCTCCCTACCAACACGGCTGTGTGTCCAGCAAACAGTAACCCAAATGGAAAAATCAATGTATTTCATATAAATTTTCATAGAAATGATAGGATTGTTTTGATTTTAAAGAAAAAAAAAAAGAAGATTTAAAGTTGAGTAATAGAAAGGCTGGTGGAAGGAAAATTACAGATTCCATTTGGATGTGGCGTTTGGGGAACATTTGTTCAGAACAAGAAAACCAAGCAGAAATAAAGTGGTTTAACAAGCAAAAGCTGTTTCCTTACCAAAAGCTTTCTTGGGAAAGAACTGGGCTATTTAGCAATATTTTCAGCTGTCAGGGAGCTGCTCTTGGCCACATCACAGAGAAATGGAAAAGCTGCAATGGAGAGTCACCGAGTTCTCGTGGTTCATGAAATTAATAAATCTGGTGAGCACTCAGTAATTCCTTATCATCCTTCCCTGTCTGAATTCATCCAGAATCCAAATTGCACTAATTGAATCCAGCCCCAGGAGATAACCCTGGGGCTGCCCTGAGACTTGTTAACATTTCCAGAGTAATCAGATTTTTTTTTCTATTAAGAAAAGGCTTTTCCTTTTTGTTGTTTTCTTTTAAAATCCAGCCCCTCTCCAAACCTCATCCCCAGTTGTGCCATGTACCTGCTCCACCTCGTAGGGTGGATGGAGAGGAAAATGAAATTTCATTTTAGTCACAGCATCTGTTGTTTTCCTAAAGGGTGGGGAGGCCTTGGCACGGATTGCCCAGAGAAAATTGTGGATTTCCCATCCCTGGAAGTGTCCAAGGCCAGCTTGGAGCAGCCTGGGATGGTGGAAGGTGTGGGGTGGAATTAAATAATATTTAAGGTCCTTTTTATCTTGGTTTAGGGCAAATTTGGGAGAGAACCTTCAAATGGGGTTCCTAAACTTTTATTCTGGATTTTGGTCCTGCTTCCCACTGTGCACTGAGCTATCTCAGAGAAATTTGCAACTTTTTAAAAATTTTTTTTTCTGCTGAGGAGACAAAAAACCAGAGCTGATTCCACTCCTGATTTCCTTCTGGAACGACGGCAAAGTCCTAAGATTCAAACAAACTTTATTTTCCAACGAAAAAGCCGGAGCAGGGAGTCGCTCAGGACACAAATCCTGCTCTGTTTACACTCGATCTCCGCAGATTGCAAGTGGCAGTTGTTGATGGGCTCCAATAAATGCGGAGTCTGGGGGCCACTCTGTGCTGCGAGGCAGGAGCTGAGCAGAGCAGGCAGCCCCAGCTCTCCCCGGTGTGCTGATGGATGAGAGCAGCGAGCAGCAATCGCTCCTCTTCCTTTTGGCACCGATCTCCAGCAGCGTTTATCCTCGCTGAAATCAACCCCGCGGCCAAGGCACTGAACAGCCCGCGCTCCCCAGCTCTTGGGGAGCCTCATTTCCATGGAGGTGCAGCAGAAAGACAAATGTTCCTGACCTCCCTGTCCCGTGCTGCTTTTGAGGTGGGAATATCCTGAGAAAAAAAACACCAAAATCCTAAAAAAAACACAAAGCCACCCCCTCCTCCCTTGGAGGTTCTTGAAAGGAAACCAACACCTGTTGGAGTAGTTATTTCAATGTTTGGCCCAAATCCCAAACAAAGCTTTTTTCTTCCCCTTTTTTTTTTTGTTGTTTTTTTTTGTTGTTGTTTTTAACAACAAAAACATATGCAGGGACCAAGGAAAAAGCACAGCTAGTTCTGATATTGTGCTTTTTGTGCTCTGAGTTGGAGGGGCTGTGACTCATTAAGTGATACCAGCACAGGGTTTCTCTAATTTCATGTCTTGCTTCAGGAATTGCGTGGCAAAATCTTGCACGAGAGAAGCGAAGGGGCCCTTCCTGCTCCTTCCATGGGATCTTTCCGAGCCATTTGTCAGGGAAAACTGGGAATATTGTATAAATCTTCTTCCTGAGAGAGATCTGTCTTTCTTCCACTTTGTGGATGGTGTCTTGCCCTAAGAGCTGAGGCTTTTGAGAGCACCCTGGCAAGGGCTGGACACGAGCTCGGAGCTGTTTTCCCACCTCAGTGATCCTGGGATTCTGTGCTCTCTGGAGAGGTTGAATCTCCACCAGTCATCTCCTAAATCAGGGATTGCTTTGGTCCCTCAGCTCAACACAGAGATTTTAGCTGTCTGTGCAGTTGGAAATTGGTGGCTTCTGGGGGAAATGCTGTGAATAAAAGGTATTTGGGTTTTCTGTGAGTTGTTTGAATGTCAGGAAAATGTGTGAGCTGTCCTCAGGGTGAGTTATGTTCAGGGACTATTTTAATAGAAAATTCCTCCCTGGGAGGGTGGGGAGACCCTGCAATGGAATTCCCAGAGCAGCTGGGGCTGCCCCTGGAGCCCTGGAGCAGCCTGGGATGGTGGGAGATCCCCGTGGCAGGGGATGGATGAGATGATCCCTAAGGTCACTTCCAACCCAGATCATTCTGGAATTCTCTGATCCTCCATGGATACTTCCCAAAGTCTTGGCATGGAATAAACACGAGGCTGGGCCTTTTTTCTGCATCCTGTCAGGGTGCTGGCAATGTGGTGTGAGCACTCTGAGCATCCCTGTGCGTTCCTGAGCATCCCTGAGCATCTCTGAGCATTCCTGAACATCCCTGAGCATCTCTGAGCATTTCTGAGCATTCCTGGGCATCCCTGAACATCCCTGAACATCCCTGAGCATTCCTGAACATTCCTGAACATCCCTGAGCATTCCTGAGCATCCCTGAACATCCCTGAGCATCTTTTAACATCCCTGAACATTCCTGAACATCTCTGAGCATTCCTGGGCATCTCTGAGCATCTCTGAACATTCCTGAACATCCCTGGGCATTTCTGAATATCCCTGGGCATCCCTGAGCATTCTTGAACATCCCTAAGCATCTCTGAGCTAGAAATCCTGGCTCTGCCTTTTCCTTGGAAATCTCTCCCTGCCCTTTCTCACAAGAAACTCGTGGAGAAGGTTGGCCCTCCTTTGTAAAAGCTGGATTGATGCCTTTTAACATTTCCATTCTCAGTGATCACAGTGTCAAATTGTCCTGGTTAAAACAGTTGAAATTCTATTTTCCTCCTCCTTTCCTTTCAGCTACAGCTGCAGAAAACCCAATATTTGCAACTGGGGCAGAGTCGTGGCCAGTACTACGGGGGGTCACTGCCAAATGTGAATCAGATTGGGAACAGTGCCATGGATCTCCCCTTCCAGGTGAGTTCTGAGGGTTTTTCCTTGGATTTGGTGAGGAATTCTGTGCTTGGATGCTGCTGTGTCCTCCCAGGCAGCTGCTGGTCCCAAAATCAGCACCTAAAAACTTGGGGTGGGGTTGGGATTGTGTTAGATTTTAGTTCTTCTGTCTCTGTTTGTGAGGCTTTGGGGTCAGGAATACTCTGAGAGATGCAAATCCTAATGAAATCCGGGAATTCCAAACTGGGAGGAAATAAAGGTGATGCTGGGAGCTGAGGGGTGCAGGAATTGATGTGCATGTTCTGTGGGAGGAATTTTGGGAGAGGAGAAGAGCAGTGGGGACACAAAGTGGTATCAGAATAATCACTTTGTTTTGGGCTGGCTGGAAGGGAAATGTCAGAATGTCCTGGCTGGGTTTTGTGACACTCCAGGGATGATGCACCTTAAACAGAAAATCAAGAGTTTCAGGTGAATATTTTGAATTGTTTTGAAGCATATTTGGACAGAGAATGTTGTCCAAGGACAGGATTAGCTGGTGGATCATTTGTGGACTTCTGATTTCCACATTTAGTTGATTTAGAGCGCTCAAAATAATGAACATTTCTGCATTGGTTTTCCTTATTTGAGCAGTCACAGTTAGAGCTGAGCTCACGAGGATGTGGTGGGAAGGAAATTTTGCAGTTTGTGGTTTTCTGATGAAGGCTGCTTAATAAAGATGGAGAAACTCTTGCTGACCTCCTCTAACTGCTTCTTGAAATAGGTGCAGACAGCTGAATTTGGGCAGGTTAAAAGCTTGAATCTTGAGCAAGAGGAGAGGCAAAAGTCTATTTTAATCTTGAATTCTTTGGGGAATACAGAGCAGAGGTTTGTAGTAGACTGAAGTCCTGTGTTACTCCACAGTGTCTGCTCTGTTCAAGTTTTTCCCTTTAGCTTTTTGTTAAGGGGGTTAAGAATTCCTTTTTAACAATAATATTTCAGCGTTTCTGTGCTTGGTGGCCATCACTGGTGGTTTTCACCTGGACTATTTTAATCTGGACTGCTGAAAAAGGAATATTCAAAAATTTATGAATGACTGGAGGAAGAGATGGAAACAAGCTATCCTTAAACCCTGGGGGTTTCTATATTTTTTCACACACACACACACACTAAAAAAAAACCAAAACACCCAAATTGATGTTGTTCCAGATAACAAATGGTGACAAGCAACAAAACAACCCCATGTGTTTGTAGCAGTGGGGAAAAGCTTTCCAGGTTTTTCCAATTTTAAGCTCAAAGCGCGACTGCAAACGACTCTGGGCCCGTGTGAAGGCAGAGCCTGGGTGGTTGTGCCTGCTGAGAGCGTTGGTGTCTGAGCATCTTCTGCTTCTTTGATTTGCAGCACAACGGAGCTCTGGCTGAAGCCTTTGGAGCAGTTCCTGTCTCTTTGGTAAACAAGTTTTTAGGTTTGTGCAAATACGTATTTAGGACTGGTCCTGTTTGCCCAGGTGGATACGTATTTCTGCACACCTGCTCTGCCGTGCACAGGATTTATTTGAGTCACCCCCAGCTCCACAGGACTGCAGGGCTGGCACACAAATCCAGGTTTTGCCGTGCATCCCAGTCTGGAACATGCAAATAATTCCTGTGCAGGCTCCCTGGACTTGCTGTCATGTGGTTATTTCTGAGTTTTTGGGGGTTTATTTGGTGCAGACAGTGGATTATTCAGTCTTGGCCTGTGGTTTCAGCAATCTCTGAGCATGTGCACTCAGCCTGCATGTTTAAATCCATGGGGAAGGGCAGAATGAATTCCCAAATCCTGCTTGGCACCAGGAGGCACCAGAATATCAAGCAGCAGTAGGTACCACTCCTCCTTCCCCCTCATCCACCTCACCTGGGTTTATTTCCTGATAAATCCGAAAAGGACACTTGGAGAGCACCGAGCTTTTTCCTTCCTGTCTGTGTTGAGCTGATTTTTAATGGTTTGGGGGTTTTGGGTCTGGTCTCAAACCCTTGAATGTTTTTCAGGGGAGTGAAGCCCTTTTAGTTCCTCATTTTCCCAAATAAAATCAATGCTCAGATCTATTATTTTTTTTTAATCCATTTTTTTCCCTATAGTTAAATATCTCATGCCGTGCAGAGATGGGGAATTTTAATCCAGGAAAATTGTCCTGGTGTTTGGCTCTAAATAAATTTTATAGGAAGGTTGCTGAGAGAAGCCAGACCTGTTGGAGGTGTTACCCATTTCCTCAGGTGTTTTCTGTTTCCCTGAATTCAGGATTCTTTTGGGATCTTGGTTCCTGGAAAGCCAGGGAACAGCTCTGCCCCCAAATAAATCCCTCTTTCTATAAACTGTACCCCTGAGCTGGGACACATTCCACATTTATTTGTGCCACTGCTGCACTCAAATGAGATTTTTATTGTGTTTTCAATAAGGAAATCGTGCCAAAAAAAAGGTAAAAACCTAAGAAACAGCGGTTTTTACCTTGAACTTTTTGTCTTTATAGTTTTGTGCTTTGGCCTCCCGTTAAATTCCAGGTGAGCTCTGCAGTCCCTGTGCTCCAGGCTGGCTGCTCCTTTTTTAGCACCACTGACATAGGAAATTGCTTTTCCTGTTGACCTTCCAAGCACGTATTTGCAAATTTTGCTGCCTTTTGGGCTGTAACAACAGAAAAAAAGGAGGAGTTTGAAACCTTTTGTTGCTTTGGAATGATGAATATTCCCACTTCTGTGTGGGGATTGTTGTTCAGTGTTTGCAGCAGAGATTAAAGCACCGTGTTTGAATTTAAAACCCTTCAAAATTGAGATTCTGTTTGAGATTTCTCAGCCAAGTGAGGAAGTGAAGCACAAACCCCATGATCTGAAGTGCTGAGAGTCCTGTAAAAAGTCACTGAGCTCCTTTCTAGTCCCCTGTTGCCTTAAATATTCTGCTGCATATAAAATGTTGGCCCTGAAATGAGAAAATAAACACCACAGCCCCTCTGCAGCTCTGTTAACACAGCCTGTGTGTGCAGAGAGGGTGAGGAGCCCAATATTTGCTGAAGAGAAAAGAGTTTAAAATAGTAGAAAGGCTCTTTAAAAAGTTCATACAAACAAAGCCTTTCAAAATAAATGCAAAGCTTTATAGAAATAATCTTTTCAACAGCCAAAGCTGACACTTGCAGAAAAAAAAAGCAAAAAAAAGAGAGAAAAAAAGGCTGAATGTGGAAGCCAGATGGTTTCATGGCTTGGCAGACAGGACAGTGCATTTGCCACGTGCAGCACCTGAATGGAGGAGGAAATTTTGGATTTCCAAACAGATGGTGTTGAGGGACTCAGCAAAGCTGTTCACATTGGCAGGGAGTGCAAGGCTGGGGAGGTTTTTTTTCCTCCCTGGAGACCCATAAATTGCTGGTGGAGTAGGAGCAGAGATTGACCCCTCGGTACTTCCTTTGTCCCTCCCCCAGGTATAGACTGGGAAGGGCTGTGGAAAATGTGAAAGTTTTCCAGTTTGGCCTGGGAATTCATCTTCCCTGTCCTTCCCCTGCCATCCTCCTGCTCTGAAATCATCTGCTCAGGAACCGCTCAGGATGTCAGTGCTGATAAGAGTCCAGGTGGGACCATCCCACCTCGGGTCCCTGAAGGAGCCGAAAATCACTTCAAAGCCATCAGACAGAGGAGGAAGGAAACTGCTTTTCTTTTTCTTTTCATTCTCTCAGTGTCCCCTTTAAATAAATGTGCTGCGAGGAGGGGTGAGAGGCCAGCCCTGAGAGCAGGCAGCGTGTCCTGGGGAATGCTGAGCTCAGCGTGCAGCTCCTCCCTGCATCTCCTGCCCTGGGATCAGGCTCTGGATGTCGGCATGTTCCTCCGGGATGCGCCCTGCATGCTGCACCAAGGGCATGTGGACAGCAGCTGGCAGCTCCTGTCGGCTTCAGGGGTGCCAGGGTGTGAGGGCAGTGCTGGGCCAGGCCAGGGCAGCTCCAGCATGGCCCCTTCTGCAGGAGGCAGCTTTCCCAAAAACCTGGCAGAGGAAAAACAAAATGACACAACGTCCACATCTCGTTTTGAGTCTGATTCCTTCGAGTGACCCAGCCTGGCACAGGAGGAGGAGGAGGCTCTGGGCAGGCTGGGGGTGTTTCCCTGTGGATAATCCCCGTGTCTCTCCCAGACCCCGTTCCAGTCGTCGGCGCTGGACACGAGCAGGACCACGCGGCACCACGGGCTGGTGGACAGAGTGTACCGGGACCGGAACCGCCTGGGCTCGCCCCACCGCCGCCCGCTCTCCGTGGACAAACACGGCCGGCAGATATCCTTGGCAGCAGGGCTGGGCCATCCCCTGCCTGCAGTGGGGACTTCCCTCCTCGCTTCCCAAGACCTAATCCATAAATTCCTGCTGTAAAGCCAGAGTTGGCCTTTGCTCGGCTCTCCTGGGGATAATGATCCAGCTGTGGGGTGCTTGGATGGATCGGGGACACAGGACAGAGGAGCCCTGGGAATTTGGTGGCCTTCTCTGATGGGGTCCTTGCCATCAGCAGCAGGGCTGGTGTGAGGCATTTGGCTCTGTCCCTTCCTGTCTAAACTGGATTTGATGGATGGAGCAGTGGATCAGGAATTGGCTGGATGGATGTGTCCAGAGGCTTGTGGTCAAGTGACAGGTGGCGTCCTCAGAGCTGGTCTGGGGACATCTAAGGGTGACATGGACAGTGGGATTGGGTGCAGTGTCACTGCCAGCTCTGGATCCTCTCATTCCCACCCAAACCACTCCATGATTCCCTGAAAGGTCAGGGCTGTCTTGGGGAAATGGGAGTTTCCCTTCAGAGCTGAGCAAACCCAACCCAGGATTCTCCTTTGCAGCTCCTCGTGCATTTCAGCGCAGGTTGATTCATCCTTTTGGCATTTGGGGATGGGAATGAGCTGAGCATTTCTGACAGGTTTAAAATCAGCTGGGATTGATAGGGCTGGAGGGGATGTGTGACACGAGGCTGAAGGCACCAGGACTTAAATCCATGGAAAAGGAGGGAGGATTTTGACCGCTCAAACATTACAACAATCCAGCTAATACTTTGGGTTGAGATCCTTTTACAATTCCCCCATAGAGAATCTTTGAGTTTAGTGGTTCTGACACGATAATTGGAATTATTCTTGGGAAAAGATTTGCTGCTGGAGTGGCAGTTGTTGCTGCCTTAACCCTGGCTCACGTGGACAGCTGCCCCTATGGCACCGTGTACCTGTCGCCGCCGTCGGACACGAGCTGGAGAAGGTGGGTGCCACCATCCTGAGGGCTTTGGGTGTTCTCTGACACTGCAGCAACCTGCAATTGTGCCTTTTGGAATTCAGAAAGGCAGTTTTTAATTCAGCCCTGCTCGTTTTACATGAGCTTTAAAATGTATATGTCTGCAAGTGATACCTTGATTTAATGGTACCTTTTTTAAGGGTAAATCCTTAAAGTTTAATCTTTAAAAATCTTTTAAAATCTTGAAAAATCCAGAAGTTTTCAGGCACAGCCTGATATTTCTCTTGGATATTGACTTGGATATTTCTCTGAGTGCAGAAACTGGGCTGGGAATGTTTCAGTTGGAGGAACACAGAGTTACACTTTTTGAGAGTTCACACTCACAGAGTTCATCCTGAGATGTGGTGGCCATGAAATTTCCCATCTGCACAACATCCTGAACCATTCCTTTTCCTCCTCCCAGCCAGGAATGTTTGGTTTTCAACCACCACAATAACCAAAGTATGATTAAACAGCTTAAAAATGGCATTATTTAATCACATTTAATCTGAACAAAGCAGATAAAACTCTGTTCTAACAAGGGCAACCGATTTATCCTGTGTTCCTCTCAATCCCATTATTGAAACAATTGCTCTTCAAACTTGAACTAATTTGTTCTGCAAATTGATTGTTTCACAAGGAAATTCTGCCTGCTTTCTGCCACACAGAGATTTTTGGGTTTTAATGCTCAGTATTGAGGTTTTACCGAGTTGCTGCTTTTATCTGAGAGGAAAATTCTTTTATTTAGTGAAGCTGACAAGAAAAATGTTATGGGTTTTGCTTTCTCTCAGGACAAATTCTGATTCTGCCTTGCACCAGAGCACCATGACTCCAGCTCAGCAGGAATCCTTTTCAGGAGGCTCGCAGGACATGCAGCAGAAAAGAGGTGAGCAGGAAAAAATAAAGGATGAAAAGGTTTATAACAATGGAATCCTCACAGATTGGGCTGCAGGTGCTTGTAGAATTCAGGAGTGACACAACAATTGGATCACATTCACCGTTCTGGGTGCTGGAATCCAAGGAAAATGACACAAAACAAATCCTGAGCCCCAGATTTTGTCATTTTTGCGCTGGGCAGGATCCTCTGGGCTGGTGGGACTTTGGTGCTGAGTTCTCAGCACTCCCAGAGCTCTGGAGGAACTCCTGGAGCAGTGTGGAATTGCCAGAATTTCAGTCAGAGGCTTCACCCCGTGTTTATTGCGGGGATTCCATCCAATCCCAGAACAATTCCAGGCTGGAGCAGCCCCGGCACCCTCAGTTCTGGTGCCCTCTGCTGGGCCCTGGGCCTGCTCCAGCTCGGGAAAATCGGGAATTGCTCATCCTAAAGGTCTTTGCCAGCCTTAAAATTCCCTGATCCTAAAGGAAAACTCCTAAATTTCATCCTTCAGCAAACAGGCAGGGGTTGTGAACACACAGCACAGCCCTTGGACACGTCTGTGCTGTCCTGCAGCTCCTCCATGTGCTCCTGGAGCTGGAGATCCTTGGGAAATGCTCATCCAAACCAGGATTCCATAAATCTGGATCTACACTCACGGCTGTGAGATGTTTTCATTGATCCATCTCTCTCTGGCTGGGCTTTTTGGGTTTTTTTTTTGTTCCCCCTTGAACAGCAAAGAAACGTCCTTGGGATGTGGAGAATTAAATTCCAGCTTTGTGCTGTTTCTCCATGCCAGGGAGGAGGGATGGGATTTTCCCCACTGGAATTGTCCTCAGGGAAGCCCTTTGGATGTTCAGGGTCTTCATCAATTGTGCAAATTGCAAAAGGTGGGGAAAAACCAGATGCCAAATAAACCCTTCCATGGACATCTGGGCAAAATCAATGGGAAGCCAGAACATTTTGTTTGGGTGTTTTTGTTGTTTTTTTTTTTAATTCTCACTGATTTAATAATTAATTAAATAACATTTCAATTGATTAAATAAATTAATTCAATTCATTCAATTAATTAAATAACATTTCAGTCTGGTTTCAGGAATCTTTGGGGTTTTTTTTAAACCACAGAATTCATCCTCCTCCTCGATAATTTAAACTCCACAAGATTTTTCCCAAAGGTTAAACTTCCAATCTGAGAATGTCTCAGTGGGAAGATAAATATTATTGATTATTAATGATTCCTTTTCATCTCCTTTTTGTTTTTTTATAGTTTTATTGCTGACTGTCCCTGGAATGGAAGAAACCACCTCTGATGCAGACAAAACCCTCTCTAAGCAAGGATGGGACACTAAAAAGGTGGGAATTGCACCTTTCAAGGCACAGAAATTTTATTTTCTGAACAGATTTAGATAAATGAATGCTTTAATCCCTGTCAATATTAATAAACGACCTGAGGAGACTGGAGATTAAATGCTGTGTTTAAAAACAAACAATAAACATTAGATCAGAAAGGATTTTATGTGTGTGAATGCACAGGCTTGGTTATATGAGGAGAAACTCTTGAAATCGAAGATTTGCTGGGCCAGTAAAGCAAAAAAATGATAAATACCTTCCAAGAGCACCCAAATCTTACACAGAAATGATTAAATTAAACTTTTTAATTGAAAAAATACCCTCCAGCAGCATCTTTGCCTTGAAATCTCTCTCCCTTCTCTTTCAGACTGGGTCATCGAGACCTAAATCCTGTGAAGTTCCAGGAATCAAGTAAGTTCTCAGCAAATTTTTATTTTAAGAGCACTGAGATCTTAGAGAAAAATTGTGGATTGAATGTCCTTGAGTATCCTGTTGCTTTGGAATTTTCTGGGAAGTTTTTAGATACAAAACAAGACCCTCTGAGGGTCAGAAATGCAAAAAAAAAAAATCTTCTTTCTGAAAAGCATCTTAAAAAAGCTCAAAAATACATTTTTTGTGGAATTCTTTGTTAAATACATTTTTAAAAGCTCAATAATATCTTCATGCAAAATTCCTTATTAAAAACACTTTAAAAAGCTAAAAAAATATATTTTGTATCGAATTCCTTAATGAATTTTCTTAATAAACACATTTTTAAAGGCTAAAAAATACCTTCTTAGGGAACTCCTTGTTAAAAACACTTTAAAAAGCTCAAAAAATATATTTTGTATTGAATTCCTTAATGAATTTTCTTAATAAATACATTTTAAAGGCTAAAAAATACCTTCTTAGGGTATTCCTTGTTAAAAACACTTTAAAAAGCTAAAAAAATATATTTTGTATTGAATTCCTTAATGAATTTTCTTAATAAACACATTTTTAAAGGCTAAAAAATACCTTCTTAGGGAATTCCTTGTTAAAAACACTTTCAATAGCTCAAAAATGTCTTTTGTACAGAATTCATTGTTAAATATATTTTCAAAAGCTCTGTCCAGGCTGAAATCTTAATGAATTTGGGGTTTTTTCTCCTCCATTTAGCATCTTCCCATCAGCTGACCAGGAGAACACTACAGCCCTGATTCCTGCCACGCACAACACGGGCGGCTCCCTGCCAGACCTGACCAACATCCACTTCCCATCCCCTCTGCCCACGCCCCTGGATCCCGAGGAATCCACATTCCCAGCCCTGAGCAGCTCCAACAGCACCGGGAACCTCGCTGCCAACCTGACCCACCTGGGCATCAGCACTGCCAGCCAGGGTGAGCCCAGCAGCAGGGAGCTCGTGTGCCAGGAATGGGGACTTTGGGTTAAAGTGCAGGATCCCTGTCTGCAGAAAATGGGAAATTTGGATTTAGTTACAGGATCCCTGTCTGCAGAAAATGGGAAATTTATATTTAATTACAGGATCCCTGTCTGCAGAAAATGGGAAATTTGGGTTAAATTGCAGGATCCCTGTCTGCAGAAAATGGGAAATTTATATTTACTTACAGGATCCCTGTCTGCAGAAAATGGGGAATTTATATTTACTTACAGGATCCCTGTCTGCAGAAAATGGGGAATTTATATTTAATTACAGGATCCCTGTCTGCAGAAAATGGGGAGTTTGGGTTAAATTGCAGGATCCCTGTCTGCAGAAAATGGGAAATTTGGATTTAGTTCCAGCACCTTTGTCTCCAAAAAATAAAAAAATTTGTATTTAGTTACAGCACCTTTTTCTCCAACAGGAGCTTTTTCTCAAAAAAAAAATGGGCAATTTGGATTTAGTTATAGCACCTTTTTCTCAAAAAAAAAAATGGGGAATTTATATTTAGTTACAGGACCTCTGTCTCCAAAAAATGGAGAATTTGTATTAAATTACAGGAGCTTTTTCTCCAAAAAATAGAAAATTTGTGTTTAGTTACAGCACCTCTGTCTCGTGTTCTTGATGCTTTTTTTGGGGGATTTGTTTTGGGATCTTTTCTTATGTTTATTTTTTACTGTTTCTGTTTGTTTGTTTATTTATTTATGAATGTTTTCCTCTTTCTTCTCTCTTGGAATTCCTCGTGCTGAACCCCAGCATCCCTTGTGTTATGGGAATATTTCCAGCAGCCCTTTCATTTCCATTCCTTTAGAACAGAATTATTTTTTTTTTCATGTGAGGATCCTTTTGTAGTCTACTATTGATTAATATTTTAATTATTAATTGCTATTTTTAAAGTGATTTTGCTGATACTCAATTATGAAGAGAGTTGATTTTGGTTTTTTTTTAAATTTATTATCAGTGACAGTTGCAAGTCTGTTGATTCCTAGAATAGAAATGACAAGTTGTATCCAAAAATACAAATATATTTCCTGTGCTGGGCAGGATTCCCTTTCCCACTTCTCCTGGGTTGGGAAAAGGAAATGACTGTAATCAGGTTGTGGCTGAGCAGGTGAGTTTGGGAAGCAAAAAAAGGATTTAACCATTTAAAGTTAAATTTAAAGTTAAATTTAAAGTTAAATTAAAACCTTGGAAGAGTTTTTTGGTCTCCAGGGTTTCAGGGATGGGTTTAGAAATTAGGATTTAAGCCACCCCACATTTTTTTCCCCGTAATAAGCAAAGTAAATGATACAGATCCAACCTAGTGGGTCTGAAACTGCTTTGAAAACATTCCCCTGATCTACCAAAGACAGAACAAATTCCAGATTTACTCCCTGATTTTATTCCAGCTTCTCTCTGGACACAACCCCACACTTTATCCATTGCCCCACTCAGCTTTTGGTGCTTTTCAAACCAATTTCCCCAAACTTTCCTCACTGCTCAAAGGCTCCACTCAGCTTTTGGTGCTTTTCAAACCAATTTTCCCAAACTTTCCTCGCTGCTCAAAGGCTCCACTCAGCTTTTGGTGCTTTTCAAACCAATTTTCCCAAACTTTCCTCGCCTCTCAGCCCTCCCTGAGTGCTCCTGGTCCTGCTGAGGAGCATCCCAGCGCCCGGGGAGGGGAGCTGGGCAGGGCAGCAGTGCCAGGGAGCCTGCCTGGCCTGAGCCCCTTGTCCTGCTGCCTCCTTGGCAGCCTGGCTTTCCTGGCTCGCTGGCAGCTTGCCCACAAGCCCTGAGCCTCTGCCAGGAGCCAAGAGCTCCGGGCTCCTGCCAATTGCTGCTCTCTGGCAGCTCCGGGCAACAGCTCGTGCTGGCTCGGCCTCACATCCCTTCCCAGGGTGACTGGGTTCCTCTGGGGTGAAGCAGGAAAGAGGGGAGGTTGTGAACTCCCAGATTTTTGGCTTGATCTGAACAAAATGATAATATTTGGGTTGTTTGTGCTCGCCTCCCTGCTGGGTCGTGGCTCTTGGGAGTGTGGTGGACATTTCCTGCCCCGGTGTGCCATTAAAAATGGGGCTCTTCCTGCGTAACCAGTTCTGCTTTTTCCATTTAAGAGGTGTTTGCTTTTACAATCCCTGCAGTGCCCTGTGATAAGCCTGGTTCCAGGATCTGTTATCTCATTCCCAGAGCGTGAGCCCAGACAAACAGAGCAGAACCTGCTTTTCCTGGGCTCGGCGAGTGCAGGTGTGCGAGCACGGTGCCTGTGGAGCTGCTGAGGCTGCTCTGCCTCTTCCAACTCCTCCTCCTGGCCACCAACCTGGCCTTGAGCCAGGACAACCCACAGGGCTCTTCCTCTCATCCTGATGCTCTTCAACCTGACAAAATTAATTACAAATCCCCTAACGAGCTCCCGCCCCATCGGCCGAGGCGCATCCGGTGCTGTCCGCTCGGGCCGCTCTTTTTTCCCCCGGTTTAGGGAATTATTTTGGGTACAAATGTCACAAATTTGCCACATAAATGTCACAAATCTTGCTGTGTCCCTGCTGAGGGTGGTTTGTTATTCCCAGCAGGGATGACGACGACGCCGGCCCCGTCCCAGCACCGCCAGCCCAGTGTCAGCCCCCTGTCCTTGGGAGCGGACTCGCGGCGACCTCAGTCCCAGCAAATGTCCCCCACGCTGTCCCCGCTCTCACCCATCACTCAGGTAGGAATTCTGGGGCGAATTCCCAGTTTTCTGATCCCAGCTTCATCGTTTGAATCGGCTTAGGCTGGAAGTTTGGCTCAAAGAGCCGCAGGGATATTGGGAAGTTCCTCCCTGGGAGGGTGGGGATGGAATTCCCAGAGCAGCTGTGGCTTCCCCGTCCCTGCAAGTGTCCAAGGCCAGCTTGGACTGGACTGGGATAGTAAAAGGTGTCCCTGTCCATGGGACAAGATGAGCTTTGGGGTCCTTTCCAACCCAAACCATTCCATGATCCCATGAATTTCATCTCTTGTTCTGTAATTTCCTCCTTTAAAGGTGTTCCTTAATTCAGAGACTTCAAACAGGAGAGGTTTGTAGAGGGGACAGATTTTACTTGCTCTTTTCTAAAACTGTGATAAAAAACATCTCTTAGACCACTTTTTTTTTAATGTTGTCCCAAAAGGAGCTGTGAAATTTGAAAATCATTACTCTAATTTGTGAGAGAAGCTCAATTAACTTTTTTAATTGATTTTATTGTGGCTCTGTGACTGCCCAGGTTGGTGATTTCTGACCTTGAGATTCAACTGGGCTTTCAAAGTATTGGTTTACACAGGATGGTTTGGGTTGGAGTGAACCTTAAACCTCATCCAACCCACCCCTGCCAGGGGCAGGAACATCTCAGAGCAGCTTCTTGACTCTCTGAGCCTTCAGGTGTGGTTTTTACAGCACAAACTCCATTTTCTCGGTGTGACTGATGAGGAATCCCCTGCCAGCATGGCTGATCCCTCTCCATCTCCCGCAGGCCGTGGCTATGGATGCACTGTCCCTGGAGCAGCAGCTCCCCCCGTACCCCTTTTTCACCCAGACCAGCTCCCAGCAGCAGCAGCAGGCGCCGGTGGCCAGCTCCCTGCCCCAGACCCCCCCTCTGCTGCAGAGCTCGGGGCTGCAGAGGGGCCCCCAGCTGCCCCCTCTGTCCGTCACGGTACCTTCCACCATCCCCCAGTCACCTCCAGGGAGCCAGAGCCAGCCCTCCATGGGAATAGACATCAACTCGGTGAGTTTGGGAAGGGATTTCCTCGGGAAAAGCTGGGAATGCACTGGGAAATGGGCTGGGACGTCCCCGCCATCACGGGAGCCTTTAGAGGGAGGCTGAAGTGAACTTAAAAATAGGTTTGGTTGAATGCACCTTTAAATGTTTTCTAGAGGAAAAATCTGTGTTAAGTTTTGTTCCAGCTTAAATCTATCAGCATTTACTGGGAGATTTTCAGGGGGTTCAGTGTCCCCTCAGCACATCATGATACAGGCTGGGGAACTCCCAGAGCCTTGAAGGAGAGTCCAACTACAACAACCATTTTCCAATAAAATCTGGGAAATTTATTTTCCAAAAGTTGTCGAGAACCAGGTATTTTCTGCAGTTTCACTACTTAGAACCCTTCTATTTCAAGGAGTTTTAGAGCATGTATTCCAAAATGGGATTTGTGGCTGCCTCCAGTGGCCAGAAGAATTGGAGCAAGGATTTATGGACAGATCCCTTTTCCTGCTTGTTTTAAGGTGGCCTGTTAGGAAATGTTGTGTCTCAGCAGCTGAAAATCCCAAATCAGCAGTCACAGGCCAGGAAAGAAGGGAAGTCCCAGCTCCCCCTGGCCCTGGAGGGTCCTGGGTGTCCCACCCGTGGTGTCCTGGCAGTGCTGTAGTGGCAGGAACGGCTTTGGCAACGAGAACAAATCAATTCTATCCATCTGCTCTTGGTTGTGGATGAAATTTTTAACAATTGGTGCTCCTTGAGAGAGCACCTGCTTCCTTTCCAGGATGGGAAGGGGAAAAGGGAAGGACAATCCAGCAGTGGAAAGAATCCCACCCCCCTCAAAATGTGTCCCTGTTTTGATTCTAATCCTCATGTAGCACCAGTACAGACAATTCTGATCTCATCCTTTGCTTTCTGTGTTGCTTTCCTCATCCTAAACCTCTTTATGACCTGAACTTTTAGGCTGCTGTGCTTATCTTCTAAAGCAACTCAAGTAATTCCTAAATAAACAGATTTAAAGCCACTTTATCAAAAAGCCTTTGGAGCTGTCACAGCCTCGCTGGCAACTTCTACACAGGTTTTGTAAAGTAGAATTGAAATTTATTTATAGTTTGGGTGGCTGCTGACAGGTTCTAAGTGGCAATGCAGAGCAAAAAGGGAAATTTTCTTGGGATTTACAGAATTTGGGGTCCAAAATTGCTGCAAATCTGATTAAATTCACTGGATTGCAGGTTCTCCTCAATCATCCCTTAATTTTTAATGGAAGTAAAATGAGAAGAGCTGGGCTACTCTTTATGTTAATTAGTGCAGCATTATTTAAATACCATTAATATTGTTAATATGTTCCAAACCAGGGTTCTTTATGATAGAAAAAAAAAAAATAAATTAAATCTTTGAAAATGACTTCTCAAGACACCTGAGAAAAGTATAAAAATCCCAGCTACAAGCCTGCAGAAGGCAGTGTGAATTGCCTGGGGGTGCAGTGGAGTTTGGGGCTGTGTGGGGACAGGTTTGGAGCCCAGGTTTATCCTTCAGGTGTCGTCACCTGAGCTGTGCTGATACCACAGCTGGAGGCAGAGCAGGACCCCAGCGAGCACAGACGTGGGGCTGGCACTGCAGCTGAAGCCTGAATGACATTCTTTTTGAATTATTCCCAGCTTCCAAGACTTCTTTGCCCTAAATCCTTGGCTGACCTGATTTTTATTTTTTTTTTTAATATATTTTGAACCGAGCATAAGTGAAAACAGGCAGGAAACGCTCCCAGCTGTGCCTGTCCCTGCCCTGGGGCTCCCTGTCTGGGGGGACCTCATTCACATAATCCTGTCTTCCCACAGAGAAACTGAAGAGGATGGTTTCTCCCAGCTCCATCACTCCAGAAATGTGTATTTTGCAAGGCTCCCTCAATGGCACGGTGTTTAATTCTGTGTTGTTCTGTAGGCCTCACTCCAGCAGTACCGCAGTAATGCTGGCTCCCCAGCCAACCAGTCTCCCACCTCTCCTGTCTCCAATCAAGGCTTCTCTCCTGGCAGCTCCCCTCAAGTAAGGGACTCTGTGCTTCCACAGGCCTTGCTTCTCGTGTGTGTTTCGAGCTGGATTTCTCCATCACTGCCCCATAGCTGTCTCACTGTGACTCCCGTGTGTGCCTCATGCGTCACCGACGTCCCATCTCGGCCGCCCTCCATCCCCGCTCCCACAGCGTGCCAGGAGCTGCTGAATTGCCTTTTTTAGTGAGCAGAGAATGGCAGGGTCAGCCTGCTGGTTGGACACTGGGCTGCTGTTTGTTTGGGGGGCAGAACCTTTCGGTTCCCAGGATCCCAGGGGAGCTGATGGGTGTGAGGTTGGGAGGGCAAGAAAAGGGGAATTTTCAGTGCCTCCTGCAGCAGGGAAACTCCTGGAGCACTAAAAAAATGACACTAAACATCCCAAACTGATTTAGATCAGGACCTTTTTTATGTGAGAACATACCCAGTGAGAGAAAACACTGGAGAAAATGCTCTTAAAATGAGCAGCTTGTGGCTGGCAGGGAATGGGATCTCAGCACACTCCCTTGCATGCCAGCTGCTTTTCCTTGCTCTGCCTGTATCTCCTCACACATCCACATGTCCTGGATGGAAATCACAACTTGGGAGAGTGTGTGATCCTCTGAAGGGGGATTTTTTCCTGCCAGCAGCAAGAGATTAAAAACAGGCAAAATTTGAGGGTTCCCCAGTGTTCGAAAGTGCATTTTCAGTGCCTGATGCTGCTGAAAGAGCCTCAGCTGGCTGCTCTGGAGAATCCCACCTGGAGAAAAGAAATGCAGGGAATTCTTCCAGAGCATCACAAGAGTCTGAAAATCCATTTTCTGTTTCATCACTGAACGTTGAAGGCTGTAAGGAGGATCCTTTCTAAATAAGTGCTGCCCCTTCATGGTTGCCAGGCAGAAGCTGCAGGTCTCCTTCATTAGCCAGGTCATGGTAAGCTCAGCCCTGGATCCGAGTGGCAGGAATTGTCTGCGTTTCCTTAACCCTGGCTTAATTGCTTCTTAACCTCTCTCTCTCTCCTGCCTGCTCCTGTGAGTTCTGCTGTGCTCTGTGTGCCTCCAAAATCCAGCACTGTCCCCTAGAGCAGAGCATGCTGCAAACTCTCAGCTCTCACTGGGCAGCACGTCCAGTTCTGGGGTTGATGTTGATTTTTTTTCCCTTTGATTTCTCAGTCACTCTGGCTTGGTTTTGTCCCCACTGGTCAGTCCCAAGGGGCAGAGCACACACTGGGATGTGATTTTTCCTGATGGCTTTATCCTGTAAAAACCTCCTCAGGTTTTGCTCTGTTTGGCAGGGACAACACAACTCTTGAGTGGAAGGCAGAGGATTTATTGATTCTGTTCTCTCTAGTTTGGACCCCTTAAATACCCACAGAATTCCTTAGTTTTACAGAATTCCTTAGTTTTACTAAACTAAAACTGTGGTGGATTCGGTGCCTCCACCAAAAGCTGGTGGTGGTCACGAACATGAAACAAGGGGGGGAATTAAAACCAGTTTGGAGGGGAAATTGGGGTTGGTCGTGAAGATGGGGCAGCTCCAGGCAGCAGAATCCCTTAATCTGCCCAGAGTGAGGGCAGATCCCTTCCAAGAGCAGAATATTCCATCGTGGAGCAGCCTGGCACTGGTGAGTGTGTGCAGTGATCTCCACGTGCTCCTCTTCCTCCCGCAGATTTGGGTTTTCATCCTCAGAGTGCCACAGGACGTTCCCTAAACCACAAACCCAGGCTTTGATTCGTGTCCCACATCCAGCACAGGTTCTTCTCCATGCTCCCACTTCTCCCAGCCCCTCTGCTCCCGTGTCCCAGCCGTGTGTGTGTGTGTGTGTGTGTGTGTGTCCCAGTCCCACCAGTGCTCCCAGTCCCCGCAGCGATGGGAGAGCTCTGCCTGACCCCCACAGCTCTGTGTTTGCATGGCTTCCACCCCACTGCTGCCCTGCTCTCACCCCTCATTCCAGTCACACACAAACATCCCTGCTCTAGTGCCTCTGACCTGGAGAACCTGGTAGGTATTTTGTAGATGGATCATCCCAGACAGGGATTGGTGCTTTGGGGCTGCTTTTTCCTCACAGTCGCTCCGTGAACCCCACAAGATGCTCTGCTGACTCTCCAGCGGTTCTGGAGGTGGTGTTTGCACAGTGTTGTTCCTGGGGTTGTTGATAAATTATTCTGAGGCTCTGAAGTGTCGAAGGAATGACATTTCCAGTGGGAATTTTGGGTTTCCTTGGGGAATTTCCATGTTTGCAGCTGTAGGAACCAGCACACAGGAGGGGCAAACCCAGGCTGGTTTGGGGTAGGAAGCTCTGACCTGGACTTGCACGAGCACATTCTGCTCTCCTGTTGATTATTTCTCACGTTCCACAAAGTTTTTTGGGATGGGAACAGTGCTTGGTGAAACATAAAGATTTTAGGGATCGTCCTCATTTTGGGAATTGTCCTTTAATTCCCAATCTGTGGAATGAAACCACAGGAGTTAAAGGCACAAAATACCTTGATCCTCCTTGGAACCCTCAAGCAGCCATTGGATTTTAGTGCTGCTTCCTGTCAAGCCTGTGCCATCCCAAAATTCAGATTTTCCTTGGAAATGGTTATAAACCATCAGTTGGACTGGATTTAGGTTGGTTTTAAACCCCCAAATTTTTCTTTCAATTGCTTTAAGTGGTGCTTTGCTTTTCTCTTACCAGTACCCATCAGTGGCTCTTGTGGTGTTTGATCCCTTGTGGTGTTTGATCCCTTTTTCCCGGGATCCAGCAGAGTGTTGATGACCAGGTGATAAATTGGAAAAGCGGCTCCAGTTCCAGCCCTTTCCCAGTTTTGGCTGCACGTGGAGCAGGGATTGTTGGGTGGTCTGGCTGGAAAGTGAATCCCAAATCTCCAAATCTCCAAGTGCATCCAAACCATCCCAGCTCGGAGCGGTTCTGGGATCAAACAGGATTTTGGAGGAGTTCCAGCCACGGAGTCTGGGCTTGGGAATTCCCCCCTGGATCCACGTTTATCCCAAACCATCCCCATCAAGTGACAGCCCAGGGATCTGGCTGGAAGTGGGGAGCTTTTTAAGGAATATCTTGGTGCTTTTCCCTCATGGAAGGGGCAATTTAGGTGTTTTTTTTAATTATTTTTTAATACAAGCTGGTTTTTTTGAGGATTTAAAATCCATGCCTGTTCAGACTCTTCCTAAGCTTTTCCTGAATTTCCCATGCTTAGGTTTTTAAGGAGGAAATTTGTAGCCTTCTGCTTTTGCCATGTGGATAAACCAGCAGCTGAATTTTGTTTTCCACAATTGAGACAACCCCTCCATGGAAATTCTATTTTATAGATGTTCTCTTTGTCACTTAATGTTTGGGGTTTTTTTCAGCTGGGAATATCAGGATTTGGGAAATTTAAATCAGGAGTGAAGTCGCTGATTTTTACCTGGAATTTTTTATCAGGATTAAAACACAGACCTCAAATTCTTGGTCACCTTTAGAATAATTGACAAATGATGGAGAATTACTGAGGGAGCGGACAGTGATTAGGAAGGATGAGGAATTCCTCCTGGAATTCTTCACTGGCTCCTTTTGGATCTCCTGGGCCCTGTGGGATCCCCTGGGCCCTGTGAGATCCCCTGGGCCCTGTGGGATCCCCCGGGCCCTGTGGGATCCCCTGGGCCCTGTGGATCCCCTGGGCCCTGTGGGATCCCTTGGGCCCTGTGGGATCCCTTGGGCCCTGTGGATCTCCTGGGCTCTGTGGGATCCCTTGGGCCCTGTGAGATCCTCTGGGCCCTGTGAGATCCCTTGGGCCCTGTGGGATCCCTTGGGCCCTGTGGATCCCCTGGGCCCTGTGTGGGCCCTGTGGGATCCCTTGGGCCCTGTGGATCCCCTGGGCCCTGTGGGATCCCCTGGGCTCTGTGGATCGTGTGGGATTCCCTCCTGCTCCCTGTGGATCCTGTGGGATCTCATAGGCCCTGTGGGATCCCTTGGGCCCTGTGGGATTACCTCCTGCTCCCTGTGGGATCCTGTGGATCCTGAGGGATCCCCCGGGCCCTCAGAGGACTCGTGAGTGCCCCGTGAAGGCCCCGTGCGATTCCCGCCCGCTCCGTGCCGATTTCTCCGGAATTCCCGGATTTCTCTGGAATTCCCGGTGCCGGGAGAGCCGTGGGAGGAGTTGGGGATTTTGCACCATAAAGCCTCTGTTTTGTTTTCAGCATTCTTCCATGCTGGGCAGTGTTTTTGGGGACTCCTATTATGAGCAGCAGATGACAGCTAGGCAGGCTAATGCCCTCTCCCACCAGGTGAGCAAATTCATCTCGGGCCTGCCTCGGCCTCTCCCACATCAAATTAATTCCAATTAATTCCTGATTAATTTTCTGTCCCGTCCCCGTTTTGTCCATGTAGAGTTTTCCTTTTTTTTTTTTTTTTTTTTTTTTTTTTTTTAGTTTTCCTTTTTTTTTTTTTTTTTTTATTTTGTTTTTTTTTTGTTTGTTTGTGTTACTCAGCAGTTTCTTGTTTTGTTTAGTTTTCCCCTCCCCTCTCACTCTTTGTCCTCCCCTCATCCCAAGCAGGTGTTCGGCCAAAAAAATGGGAGATGGATTTAAAAGATAAATAAAATAAAATAATACAATAAAGTATTAATGAATAATAAAATAATAATAATAATAATAATAATAATAATAATAATAATAATAATAATAATAATAATAATAATAATAATTCAATAAAATCAATACAATAAAATCACGAAGCTTATAAAACTTCCAGTAATGCCAGGCAGCTTTGGAAAAGGGAAGTAGTGAAAAGGAAATGTTAAAGCAGTGAAAATCAGCTCAAAAAAAGGGAAAATGAGGAAGTTTTGGAGAGGAAAAATAGTGAGAATTTTAAAATGGAAGTCAGCTCTAAAAGGGAAAAATAATGGAAAGGAGTTTTTAAAATAATGGAAGACTTTAAAAATAATGAAAAGAAATTTTTTAAGTAATGGAAAACTGGAAAAAAGGAAAAGAATGACATTTGAAAGAGGAAAAATACTGAAAAATCTTTAAGTAATGAAAATGCATTTTTAAAAGGAAAAATAATGAAAATATATTTTAAAATAATGAGAATCAGCTTTAAAAAATGAAAATGAAAAAAGAAAATTTTAAATAATGTTTTTTAAAAATGAAAATTTTATCAAGGAAAATTTTGAAATTTAATTTTAAAATGAGAACCAAAAATTTTAAAATAATAAAAATAATTCTGACAAGATTTAAGACACCCAAAATTTTAAAAATGAAACATCATGGAAATACATTGAAAAATTAAAATAATTAAATAAATAAGTAAAATAATTAAAATAATTAAATGTTTCAATTAAATAGTTGAAATAATTAAAATAATTAAATATTTCCACATTTCTGGCTGGAGAAATTTGGATTGCAATCCTTCCAGTTGCAATTGAGGATTCCCTTGTAGGTGGTGACAGGAATTTGGGAATAATCCATGGCTGGTTTTATTTGGGAATAATTGGAGCCTTCCTTGGTTTGGCCAGCCAGGGCATGGATTAATTAAATTATGGAATGCTTAAAGCTGGGATGTGTCTTGGAGGGAATTCTGATGGGCAGAGACCTCAGGGCGAGCCTGAATTCCCTTTCTTTTCCTTTAAAACCTCCCTTTTCTTTTGTTCTCCCAATCCCCTCTCCCCAGTTTGGTTTGTGCCTCCCTCTTGCGAATTGGGCAGGGAATCTCAAAAAGAGCCCCTTTTTGAGCGAGGAAAGATGAATTTGTTTGCCTGTCTCTTGTCCTGTCCTGGAGCCGTGTCCTTGTCCCCGCTGTCTCTGCCGAGGGTTGGGAATTAACGCTGTCCTCGGTGTCCCTGCAGCTGGAGCAGTTCAACATGATCGAGAACGCCATCAGCTCCAACAGCCTCTACAGCCCCTGCTCCACCCTCAACTACTCGCAGGCTGCCATGATGGGACTGACGGGCAGCCACGGCAGCCTGCCGGACACGCAGCAGCTCAACTACTCCAGCCACGGCAACATCCCCAACATCATCCTGACAGGTGAGTGCGCCTCGCTCGGGGCTGCTCCAGGGTCCCTCACGGGATACGGGCTGGGAAAGGACTGAGAACACTGTGGTTCTGCACCTGAGGCTGGGCCAGGGTCCCTCATGGGGATACGGGCTGGGAAAGGACTGGGGGGACTGAGAACACTCTGTGGTTCTGTACCTGAGGCTGCTTGGGGGTCCCAAACTGGGATACAGGGTGGGAAAAGGACTGAGAACACTGTGTGGTTCTGCATCTGAGGCTCGAGGGTCCCACACGGGGATACGGGGCAGGAAAAGGACTGGGGGGACTGAGAACACTCTGTGGTTCTGTACCTGAGGCTGCTTGAGGGTCTCACATGGGGATACGGGGCAGGAAAAGGACTGAGGAGACTGAAGAGACTCAGGGGACTCTGTGGTTCTGCACCTAAAGGTGTTGGAGTGTCCAAAGTCGGGATACAGGGCAGGAAAAGGTCCGAGGAGACTCTGTGGTTGGGATACAGGGTGGGGAAAGGTCTGAGGAGCAGCTGAGGGCAGTGCAGAGGAGACTGAGGGGACTGGGTGGGTTCTGCAGCTCCAATCTCCGCTCTGGGAGCAGGGACAGCAGCCAGGGAATGGCTGTGCCAGGGAGATCAGGGAATTGTGCCCCTCAGAGAACTCTGCCCAGGCTCCTCAGGGCATGGCCCCGGCCCCAGCCCTGCCAGAGCTCCAGGAGTGTTTGGACAACACTCTGGGACAGGCTGGGATTTTGGGGTGTCTGTGCAGGGCCAGGAGCTGCATCCACGATCCTCCTGATCCTCCCAGCTCAGGATATTCCACAATTCCGTGATCCCAGCTTGGGGTTTCTCTTGGGGATTGTTGAGGGCTTTGTTCCACCTGAGCTGTGTGTCCCAGTGCTCACCTGATCCCAGCACACAGGTAGAGCACCAGTTTTCCTATGGATTTATCCTGCCCCTGAATTCCCTGGATCCTCTGCTGCAGTGAGGAAAAGCTGTGGGAGCCAAACTCCTTCCTCTGCTCAGCCCAAGCTGGCCAGCAGAGGCTTGGAGTGTCACATATGGTGGCCAATCTGGTCACAGTGGGGCTTTGGAAACAATCCCTGCCCAGGGATGCTGTGGCTGCAGCCAGGAATGGTGGAAATTGAGGTTATTCCTCCTCAAGCTGAGAGAAAAGGCTCGACTTAGACCCAACACGAATTTGGGGCTGTGCATGGTGGTTTGGAGATGCTGTGAGGAACCCGAAATGTGAAGGAAGGTGGATGTTCCTCATCTGAGAGCTCCATAAATGTTGCCAGGGATGTTGGGAGCTGTTTTCCTGCGTGTTTGACCCCCGTGTGTTCTGTTCCCTGCAGTGACAGGAGAATCCCCCCCCAGCTTATCAAAAGAACTGACCAGCTCCTTGGCAGGCGTGGGGGACGTCAGCTTCGACACGGATTCCCAGTTCCCTCTGGATGAACTCAAAATTGACCCTTTGACCTTGGATGGACTGCACATGCTCAACGACCCCGACATGGTCCTCACCGACCCCGCCACAGAGGACACGTTCCGGATGGACCGGCTGTGATCCGCCGGGATCTCCCGCGGGATCCATCCCGGAGGGTCCATCCCAGAGGGTCCATCCCGTCCCGGAGGATCCGTCCCGTCCCGGAGGATCCGTCCCGGAGGGAGCAGCTGCTCCGTGTCCCCCTGTACAATGAGTAACCACAGCTTGTTGTTCTGAGCTTGCCGCGCTGCCGAGCCCCCGTCCCCGTGGCGCCCAGCGATGTCACCCCCGAGCCGCTCGTTGCCGTCCAGCAGTAAGGAGTTGTCCGGTTTTTCCCGGTTTTCCATCGGCCTTTTCCTCTGCAGAGCCCCCCTTTCCCCCAGCAAGGCTCGGCGGGGCCCTGCCCGTGTCCCTGCGCTAGAGAGGGGCTGCGGGATGAGGAGGGAAGGGCAGGAGATGCCGGCAAACACCGAAATCCGGCGCCGGAGGGGCCCAGCCCCCTCCTCTCTCCCGGATTGGGAAGTGAATCCCTGCATTGCCACCTTTCCCTGGAATTGTGACTCTGCTTCGTGACACTGTCACCCCTCCAGGTGCCGTGCTTGTCCCCAGGTGTGTCCCCAACCTCTTGTCCCTCCCTCCTGCCCCAGCCATCCCGGCAAAGCGGAGCCGCCGCCGGCCACCAATCCCAAAAATCCACTTTAAACACTATTTTTTTTTCCAAGCTTTTTATGTTTATTTTTTTTGTTGTTTTGTTTTGTTTGTTTTTTTAAAATATATATGTAATATATATCTATTTCTATATATGGCTACATATATAGAGAGCATTTCTGAGCACACATGAAAGTTCTATAATTCATTACTTGATTAGACAGAGGATCAGAACATCTTAAAGCAGCTAAAAAAAAAATAGAGACTAACCTGCATAATCCTAATTTTTACTTTGTGAGAGATTCCTGGGCAACAGGAAGGGCATTTCCATAGCAATGCCAGGCTAGTAGAATCATGATTTTTTAATTTTTTTATTCTTATTCATTACTTATTCTGTTACTTATTTATGATTTTATTTTTGGTCATTGTTGTTGTCTTTTTTTTTTTTTATTTAAATATTTGGATATTAGGAAAGTAGCTCAACTACATACAGCCAATGGAAGCACTCTACATAATATTTGTACAGTACATTTTTTTTTTTTGTGGTTTTACTCCAGAAATATATTATATATATTATATATGTAGGTATTTTTAAACTAACTGGAATTTTAAACAGATGTTAAGCAGGAATAAGGAAGCCTAAGGCAAGTTTAGATATTTTCCTTTGGAATAGGCAAAAATAGGGTGGTTGGAACTTAAAAATTCCTTCATTCACCCGGGGGGAAAAAAAAAAATCTCTTGCTCCAGAATGACCAGGATCAAATCCTCCAAAATTCTGTTTAATTAAATGGAGAATTGATTATTTCTGGTGGTCTTTGTGCATGTTCTGTGCTGCAAATTAAAAATAATTCCCATCCAGATTGCCCAGGCTGGGAGTTGGGGGTTTCACTCCGGCGGGATCGATGGCGATTCCCAGATTTCTGGGAATGGATGGATTCAAAGGGCACTGCTGGAACATCCTCATTCCCCTGGGATCTGCACGGGGACAGCATCTCCCAGCACAGGAAAGGCAGGAATTAATCAGGAATTAACAGCATTTGGAATCTTATTAACTAATTAACAGTGCAGCCCCCGAGGGCGAGCAGCCACATGGATCCCACTCCCTAAAATCCCAGCGGTTCCCAGTTCCCAGCGGGAATTCTGCCCTTCCCGGCCTCCTGCACCAGCTGGATTTGGAAACCCAGCACTCCCAATCCCAAAACTTCTCCTGTGCCGGGAGTTCCCCACAATTAATGAGCACCCCCTGCAATTAATGCCTTCTCACTGCTCTGCTAATGAGTTATACCAAGTTTCTGTGTGCTTCCAGAAATCCCGGCCTGCCGTGCTGAGGTTCCTGCAGGGTCGGGATCTCCCCGATCCCGGGCTGTCCCCTCACCTTTCCGTGCCATTTCTTGACCATTTGCACTAAAAATGTGGAATTTCTTTTTTTTTTTTTTTTTTTTTTTTTTTTAATTTTCATTTGATCCTTCTCCACGCCCTTCAGAGGTTTCCCCGCATCTCTTGGGAATGTTTTGGGATTTATTTTTTTTTGGCAGGGTAGGACACGTTCGTTCCTGGTGGCTGCTTGTTTCAGATCCCTCACACTTTTCAGTTTAAGGAGGAGATAAAAGCTCAAACTGGAGGAAACCTGGAAAAAAAAAAAACCAGGAGGAATTTGGGCCCAGGCGACTCGGAGCCCTTTGCTGAAGGTCCAGGGTGAGCCTGAAACTCTTCCCGTGTGGGAATTCCGTGTTTGTCTCCCTCTGGAATGGCTCCCGTGGATGTGGCAGTGCCCGTCCGTCACTGCGGGGCTGGCATTCCTCACGGGAGCCGCATTTTGAACTCCGTGTGTAAATAAGAGCTCTTTGTTTCTTGGACTTGTAAGCAGACCTTGAAAATGGCCTTAATTTCAAGCTGACACCCTTTGGATTGTGGCTGTCGCAGTTTGGGACCCTCCGGCCCAGAGGGGTTTCATCCCTGGGCAGCGGGAATTGTCCCGCTGGGAATTCCGTGCGGGACAGGAGGGGCTGCTTCTCATCCCCCCGGAGATCCAGGGATTCCAGCAGATCCCACCTTTCCCTTCCCCGGGGGAACCTTCCAGGTGCCCCCTCTCACTCCTCCAAATCCCATCTCTGGCATCAGGCGGGTCTGGAAGCAGAGCCAGAGAGAAGCGTGGGGCGGCTCCCGAGCGCTCCCAGAACAAATAATCTGCTTTTATTCCCAGCAGAGCAAGCCTGTGCTCATTTCAGTGCAGAGAGGGAAAACCATCACTGGGCAAAAAGCCCAAAGAGCAGGAGAGAAGCGTTAATTGGTGGTGTTGATTGGTGTGGGTGAAGCCGTGCGGTGTCTCCAGGGGTGACTGTCCCGCCCTCCCTCCGTGTGTTCCTCTCTGCAGAGGGGCCCGAGCCGCAGGGCCCCGCTGCTGCACTGGGGCACAGCAGGAACGAACCCTCGGCGCAGCCCCGGCTGCGGCTGCTGCACTGGGGCAGCTGTGGGGAGCAGGGCTGTTCTGCACCCACACAGGGGTGTGGGTCCTGCCCCACATGTACACAGTGTCACACACTGCCCCATACACACACACACTGCCCCACATGTACACACAGTGCCCCACCTGTACACAGTGTCACACACTGCCCCACATGTACACACAGTGTCACACACTGCCCCACATGTACACAGTGTCACACACTGCCCCACATGTACACACAGTGTCACACACTGCCCCATACACACACACAGTGTCACACACTGCCCCACATGTGCACAGTGTTCTGCACCCACACAGGGGTGTGGGTCCTGCCCCACATGTACACAGTGTCACACACACTGCCCCACATGTACACAGTGTCACACACTGCCCCATACACACACACAGTGCCCCACATGTACACAGTGTCACACACTGCCCCACATGTACACACAGTGCCCCACATGTACACACTGCCCCATACACACACACTGCCCCACACAGTGCCCCACACACACACACAGCCCCAGGGCCGGGCTCTGCCCCATTTTCAAGAGGGGGAAGCGTTTCCAGCAGGGGCTGTGCAGTTCTTGGTTTCGTGGAGCTTTCACACATTGTTTGATGAATTCACTTTCACGAGCGCTCCTGGGTGAGCCTCAGCTCAGGGGGAGGCTGGCTTTGCTGGTTCCCTGGAGGTCTTTTCCAGCCCCAATTTGATGATTCTGTTCCAGACTAGATTCAGGTTCATTTCCAACCTTAATTCAGTGATTCTTTTCCACCCCTGCTTCGGCGGCTCTTTCCCAACCTC